AATGGCGTAAATTACGTTACTTTGGCGGTTATAAACGTCAATTACGTAATATTGACATCAATAAACATAAATTACGTATTTTTGGCGTTTATAATCGTAACTTACGTAATTTTATGCTGCTATCAGCGTTACTTCCATTACTTTCACGGTTATAGGCGTAACTTACGTGACTTTCACAATTAGAAACGTCACACATGACACTTTGGCGGCCATATATGTCATATACGTCACTTTGAATATTATTGGCGTCAATTTCGTCACTTTGGCAGCAATTAGCATAAATTACGTTACTTTGGCAGTGATAAACGTCAATTACGTTAGTTTGGCAACAATAAACACGATTTACGTCACTTTGGCAACAATTAACGTCAATTACGTTATATCGGCAATAATAAACATAATTTACGTCACTTTGGCAACAATTAACGTCACTTACGTAACTTTTGCTACCATAAGCGTTAATTAGGTCTTTTATACGGCTATTGTTGTTACTTACGTTATCTTAGTGACCACAAGCGTTTGTTACATAAGATTAGTTACAATAGGTGTGATATACGTGAGTTTTGCAACAATAGGCGTCAATTACGTCATATTGGCAGTTATAAACGTCACATACGTAAGTTTATACAGTTATAGGCGTCACTTACGTAACTTTTACTATTATAGGCGTAAAATACGTCATTATGGTGGTTATGAACGTCAATTACGTTATTTCGGCAACAATAAACATAATTTACGTCACTTTGGAAACAACAAACGTCACTTTCGTAACTTTTGCGACGATAAGCGTTAATTACGTATTTTATACGACTATTGTTGTTACTTACTTTATCTTAGTGACCACAAGCGTTTGTTACGTAAGATTAGTTACAATAGGTGTGATATACGTGAGTTTTGCAAGAATAGGCGTCAATTACGTCATATTGGCAGTTATAAACGTCACTTACGTAAGTTTTTACAGTTATAGGCGTCACTTACGTCACTTTTACTATTATAGGCGTAAAATACGTCATTATTGCGGTTATGAACGTTAATTACGTCATTTTGGCAAAAATAAACATAAATTACGTCTTTTTTACAGCAGTTGGCGTCAATTACGTTATATTTGCAGTTATGAACGTCACTTCCGTAAGTTTTTTCGGTTATCGGCGTTACTCGCATCACTTTTTCTACCAATAACGTAAATTATGTCAATAATTAGCGGCAATAAGTGTGATATACGTAGATTTTGCGGCAACTGGCGTACATTACGTCATATTGGCAGTTATAAACGTCACTTACGTAAGTTTTTTCAGTTATAAACGTCACTTACGTCACTTTCGCTGTTATATACGTCAATTACGTAATTTTAGCTGTTATAAACGTCAATTACGTCATTTTGGCAACAATAAACATGAATTACGTATTTTTGGCGTTTATAAGCGTAACATACGTCATTTTAGCTGCTATCAGCGTTACTTTTATTAATTTTACACTTATAAGCAGAACTTACGTAACTTTCACAATTAGAAACGTCACTCACGTCACTTTGGCGGTTATATACTTAATATAGGTAACTTTAGATATTATTGGCGTTAATTTCGTTACTTTGGCAGCTATTAGCATAAATTACGTCACTTTAGCAGTGATAAACGTGAATTACGTTATTTTTGCACTAATAAACATAATTTACGTCACTTTGGCAACAATTAACGTAACTTACGTAACATTGTCGGCCATAAGCGTCAATTACGTAACTTTTGCGGCTATTGTTGTTACTTACGTCATCTTAGTGACCACAAGCGTTTGTTACGTAAGATTAGCGGCAATAAGTGTGATATACGTAAGTGTTTTGCGGCAATTGGCGTAAATTACGTCATATTGGCAGTCATAAACGTCACTTACGTTAGTTTTTTCGCCCACAGGCGTCACTCACGTCACTTTGGCGGCCATTAAGCGTTTATAACGTTAATTCAGTGGCCATGTATGTCATATACGTCACTTTGGATACAATTAGCGTCAATTTCGTTATTTTGGTGGCCATAAGCGTAGATTACGTTACTTTGGCAGTAATAAACGTCAATTACGTGATTTTGGCAACAATAAACATAAATTACGTAACTTTGGCTGCAATAAACGTCACTTACGTAACTTTGGCGGCGATAAGCGTTAAGGATAATAATAGGCCCGAAATGTACAGTACATATTAATATAACAAAATTTTTGTGAACTTTTCTATTGAAAACTATTTTTTATTTTAATGTGATAAGTCTTTAAAATTCATAACAAATTTAAATGTAGCTATTAAGAAAATTAAGAGTTTGTACATTTTTACTTGAAATCATTTTCAGACGTTTCAAAGTATATATAATGATGTTTACATTTTGTAATCACCAAAAGATGACACTACATTTACAGTACCTTCTGCGTAGGGTTTTTAAACGGGATCTCGGAAATTTCGACTGTAACTTGAAATCTTCGAGGCTATGTGTAAAAAAACTCATAACATTTTTTTTTTAAATGCATCAACAAGTGGCAAATGGGTTCCGTTCCCTGGAAAGTTTCGTCGTCAGTTCGCGCCTCGCCCGGACGGGCTAACCACGTCGAGTTTTTCACGTCTGTAACGCCTAAATAGAGGACAGTACCCTTAAAAATACCTCCCGGAAGGCATCGCACAAGTGTATTGTTGTCATAACTTTACAAACAATTGAATCGGAAGAGACATAATCGGTATCAGGACTTTTCATTACCAAAATAAGAACCAGATTGAGTCATCGGAGTTGATCAATTAAGATTGAGTTGATCATCTTCGTTTAAAATCTTATTATAAAAATTTACAATAATGTTCTGTATTATGATTTATTTAAACAACGAAAATTACTTTGTAAGTTAGAAGTTTCACTTAAGTTAAATTTATTTTGAAAATTTAGACGTAATTCAATGGTAATGTTTAACACATATTTTACACAGCATTATTAATACTATTATTTTGAAGGCCGCATAATATATTAAATTACTTAGAAAAATGAAAAATAATTATATCATTCGCTTTCGAGATTTATTTTATATATTAAAAATAATTAATTATATCCAGGGATTTCTCGGAATCCCGGGAAACAGATTATTTTTTCTCGAAATCTCGGGATAGGGAAATAATCAGGAATTCAGAAACCCTACTTCTGTGACTTTCTTTTCATTTCTATTTCTAATCAAAATTTTCTACACGTGATCTTTTTCTTCTCTTGCTTTTACTCCACTGTTTATATTAATTCACTTTTCCAACTTTGTTGGCCAATAACTTAATTGTTAATTGTTGGTATCTTAATTGTTAAATAAAAATGTTAGTAATAATAATAATATTTATATACTAGCAGGTGAGCCGGGCGTTGCTCGGGCAAAAGTAACGATAGCGAAGATTAAGATTATTATGTTATAGTCAACCTTACCCGTTTTCACAGAATGCAAAAATTGGATCCCCCGTTTCCAGACTAATTAGAGAATTTTTAAATGGGTCTAAAAATATCTTCAATTTCCTGCAAAAACGAAAACCAACTTCAGTTTTTCTTAAAACGTCGCTTTCTCTTAACAATTCCATTGTTACGTAACAGGTCCATTGTTACGTAACACTTCCATTGTTGACACTTCCATCGTTGATACTTCCATTGTTGACACTTCCATTGTTACTTAACACTTCTATTGTTGATGGAAGTGTTAAGCTTAATTTTGTCCCTCTCCCCTTAGGGAGGCATTTCGAAAAATCTCTTCTTAGTGTGCGTTTTCGTGACGTACCCTAACTGTGTACCAAATTTCAACTTCCAACTCCTAACCGTTTGGGCTCTGCACTTATTATTATTATTATTATCATCAATCTGTCTCGATTATATTATATTATATGTTCGATTTCCCGCAAAAACNAACTAATTATTCGAGATTTAAGCACTGGTTGGCTTTTATCTAAATACACTGAGTCTGCTTTAGTAAATAAATTTTTGTTACCAATCTATATTTTTGAATTTAGCTACAAAACTGCTCCTTCGTATGTTAATTCTATGGGGGACACTTCATTTTTATTGAAGAATAAAATTGTTATTTACACGCCCGCCTGTGGAGGTCTGAATGATATGTTATATCTTGCATAATAATTTTTTAAATATGAAAATATGTTTACAATATTTATAGTTTTTGTTAGTATAAACAATTATTGCTAAATTATAGATTATTCTGTACATTTTCGTGCAACTCATCATAATTTTCTGTAAAGATAGGCTAATTAAAATTTCGGTTTAAGAAACATTGCAATACATGCGCTATACTTCCATAACTACAGTACATACGTTACAAAACTTAATAATAAAATTAAAGAACTGGACTTGCTCCAATAGTAAAATCATCTATGCCACTGAATTTTCGATATGTGTTCAAAGTGCATGGAAAACTGTACTGTGTTTTTATTATAGCTTATTTTACTACATTACAAAATGTACAAATTAATATTAATCAATAATTTCTTACCAATAAAATGTTCACCATTGAATTGATAAAACTTGGTGACAACTGAAGAAAATGTGATAGTGTTATTCTCCCAGCATCCACAATCATAACGATACAATTCTCTTGAGTTCGATGAAAATTTAACATCAGATCTAAGATGAGCATTCCAGCACGAAATACATCCATTACATTTGCAACAGAAGTATCCCATTTACCTAAAATAATCAATTTTTCAATATAAGAATAAGACTTACAAGCATAGTTATAAGAATAATTATATTTAAATTTAATATAAAAGTTTTTGTAACGAATTTTATTTTCGTTAATAGATTACGTCTTGATTATATATATAGATACAGAGAATATTGTTTGTGTTTTATTATAGATAAGCAGAATTTTTTAAATATTTATATACAATATTTTAATGGTAAATTAGTTTTTTAAACTTCCGTTTACATTGTAAATGAAAAACATCACTTAACTTTTTATTTTAAACCATAATACAATAAAAAAAAATGTAAACAGGTGGTTTCAGTACAATATCGGTAACCCCTTTTTTCCCTAAATAATCTGTGCTGAAATGAAGGTCGAAGGTGAAGTTTTATTTCAGTATACAATATTTATATAACCGAAAATACATGCTAAATTTAATAAATTTTCTAGTTTAGTAGTTTCTTTCCTGGTAAATAATAACATAATTGTATGTTATTCAAAAATGTGTAATTTCCAATTCTGAATCTTGTTTCAGAGAAGCCATAAATGCTTCTGGATCATCGGAATAACATTTAAATTTCTCTTCCGATTTCTCTAGAAACTTCTTAACTTTTTCGTCTTCAAAATCTTCACCAATATACGTAAATTTGCCTTGACTGAAGTGCTTATTTCTTTCCTCTTCGTACAATCTCAAATATTCTTCGTTTTTGCGAAAGAATTCTTCATTGGCTCTAATCATATTATTGAATTTACTCGAATCGGAAGGCAAATTACCTCCCAATTCCAAAGGCAAAAAATCCGGATGAATGAATTCGTGCAAAGTAGACATGTCAGAATGAAAGTGCAACTGCGAAATGAAAACATGTTTTGAGAAATTAGTGAAATAATATGTAAAATAAATAATTTAATATATAAAAATTTAAAATTCGTGAATTCGAATATATCCGTAATCTAATAGTTAAATTTCAAAATAATATGATTTTAATTCTTGCTATAAGATACTATACAATATATGTCTGCTTTTCAGACTTGTATTGTTAACAAGTTTAATGCCATTGAGAATCGTAACAATAAGAACACAAAGGGAATTGAGAGTAATGAAAACATGAAACCAAAGATATTTATGGGAATTCCCAATATATCCTTCTGAATCTTCACACATTAAAATGATAATTCAGATTTGTACAGTCAATAATTTTGCAAACAGAATGATCACGATTAGGAAAGACTAAGACAATCCCGGACATCAGGTAAACCAGAGATGAAATAATGACAATATTTCTTATAAATTTTATTTTGCGTCATGATCCATATCAGCCAGATATTATTGACATATGTTGTTATGCATTTTCGCTATGTTTTTATCCAGCTGAAGACTTGTCGTTTTTCAAAATTTTATCAGCATAGGAAGTAGTATTTACGACAACAAGTTTTTATATAACTTTATAAATATAAATAATAATTGCTTTTTTATATTTATTTAAAATAGATCATAATTTAGATAGAATGGCGTGTCTTTCTGAATCGAATTAAAATCAAACATGGCGATTTGGGATAAACACGGACATTATTGGAACCATCAAGTTTCTTTTATAGGAAAAAGTAATACTTTTCTTTCTGTACTAAATGTTTCAAAATTATTAAATTATATAAATTGTGAAATTAGATTATATTTCTGTACTTACTCTTTTCTTCAGTTTAGTTGGTAAAAGTGGAAATAGCATAGTTAAAATTGCTTTTAATATGATATTCATGTTGACATAATGTATTTCCTTGTATCGAAGTGGATAAGTATCTTTCTAAAAATACATATAACAATATTAAAAAAGTAATTAACTTTTATACCAATTCATTTTTATTAGTATAATTTATTTTAGTATTAAATACTATAAATACATGACTCATTAAAACTACACAGTATATTGTGTGCTGGCTGCTGTCAGTGGAGCATCCGGTCAAGGTAAAATCTGTGCCATATGCTCCACATCGATTTTCTTTCGTAATTAACTAATTATTCGAGATTTAAGCACTGGTTGGCTTTTATCTAAATACACTGAGTCTGCTTTAGTAAATAAATTTTTGTTACCAATCTATATTTTTGAATTTAGCTACAAAACTGCTCCTTCGTATGTTAATTCTATGGGGGACACTTCATTTTTATTGAAGAATAAAATTGTTATTTACACGCCCGCCTGTGGAGGTCTGAATGATATGTTATATCTTGCATAATAATTTTTTAAATATGAAAATATGTTTACAATATTTATAGTTTTTGTTAGTATAAACAATTATTGCTAAATTATAGATTATTCTGTACATTTTCGTGCAACTCATCATAATTTTCTGTAAAGATAGGCTAATTAAAATTTCGGTTTAAGAAACATTGCAATACATGCGCTATACTTCCATAACTACAGTACATACGTTACAAAACTTAATAATAAAATTAAAGAACTGGACTTGCTCCAATAGTAAAATCATCTATGCCACTGAATTTTCGATATGTGTTCAAAGTGCATGGAAAACTGTACTGTGTTTTTATTATAGCTTATTTTACTACATTACAAAATGTACAAATTAATATTAATCAATAATTTCTTACCAATAAAATGTTCACCATTGAATTGATAAAACTTGGTGACAACTGAAGAAAATGTGATAGTGTTATTCTCCCAGCATCCACAATCATAACGATACAATTCTCTTGAGTTCGATGAAAATTTAACATCAGATCTAAGATGAGCATTCCAGCACGAAATACATCCATTACATTTGCAACAGAAGTATCCCATTTACCTAAAATAATCAATTTTTCAATATAAGAATAAGACTTACAAGCATAGTTATAAGAATAATTATATTTAAATTTAATATAAAAGTTTTTGTAACGAATTTTATTTTCGTTAATAGATTAACTGAAGAGATAAGACTAATTTAGAAATATATATTCAATTTCATTTTTCATTTTCATAATACCTTTATTTATAAAGACCTCTGCCCCACAGAGCACTGCAAAAGTAAAAATACAACTATAAATGAAATAACAAGACAAAATGACACTCACAGAAATCACATCCAGGGTTTCACTTGTAAGTCCCCAATTGCACTTGGCATGCCTTGCAAGGCCATTGAAAATTATCACTGTTCTGTCAGTGATGTGCTTAATTAATATTGGAGCCCATGATAGCTTGTGGTCCAATAGAACACCTAAGTACTTGATCTGCTTGTAACATTTTATGCTAAACCCACCCATTTTGATAGTGGGACAACGTTTATGTAGAGTGTATGACGGCTGGGTGAAGATAATAGCTCTTGTTTTTGGGGGGTTATTAAATGTTAGTCGGACACTTTGCCTTTCTCAACCTAGCTAAAATAATACTCCATCTTGCCGAGTTCAACGGCTCTAACAATTTGGATCAAACTTGGTTAGTTTATTGCTACTTCAGCTGCTTGGCGATAAAATTTATTAGGTATGTATATTTATGAATCAAAAGTTCTTAGTTTATTTTTCAGATATCATTCCAGTTCAGTCAGTTCACAGTTACATAATAATAATATTATATAATTGTACAATTCGAATTCGTACTGAATAATGTCTCTTACAAAGCCAAGTCAGCAAGAGAAATGTGGTGAGAATGATGATGAAAAAGGCTTGTGGGACTATTTTAAAAAATTGGATGATAGTCGAAGTGCAAAATGCTTATTATGTTCAAAAACTTTGCTGATTAGTAATTGTTCAACGACAGGCTTAAAAGGCCATCTACAAAAGATACACTGCGTCAACGTTACTTCTGCAAACAGCAAATTACTACTTCGTAATACAGATACAGTAATTCCCACAGCAATAGCAACTACATCAAAAAATGTCCACGATTAGAAAGTAGATATTATACCGGAAAAAAAGGCTAAGAGGAGTATTGATGCCTATTTTGTAAAAGAAAATTCGATGAAAGCCATGGTTACAAGGATGGTGTGCAAAGATGGTTTTACACTAAGTTCATTTTGTACATCTTTCGATTTAAGACGTTTGTTCACAAAAAATAGATTCCAATTGCCAACTTCTTTCAGCACCATAAGGTGGATGACTACCAATTACGCATAAACTCTCGAAGTGGATTTAATAAAAAAATTCGCAAATTTTTAAAACAGGGTCAAAGATTTTAGTTAAACTTTGATGAGTGGACATCTCAAAAAAATCATAGATACATTAATCTCAACGTGCACCATAAAAAGATCCATTTTAATTTTGGTCTGATCAGAATTCACAGATCTTGCACGGCCGAACATTGCATTGAATTAGTGTCAGAACGGTTGAAAAAATTTGGCTTAAACTTTGAAATTGACACCATTGGTATTACTACTGATTTTTTGGTAAAAGTTGGTAAACTTTTGCCTTGCTATCAGCAACTGTGCTTTGCACATGGAATCCAGTTAGGTTTTTGTAGACGTTCGGTATAAAAAGAAAGATTTAAAAAAAAGTAGAACATACAGAGATAGACTATAGTGACAATTAATATAAATTAATTAGTAGAATTGTCTTTGCTATTATGTAACTTAAAGATTACATTATAATTATAATCTAACTAAACATTTAAAGTTAATTATCTTTATCTCAAGTGTTAAACCGAACCAAAGTAAAGTTTACTACCTAAATGTGTAAGAAGTTTTACTGATTTTAGTGACCAGTCTAAATAATAAAAGTTTCTTAAATATTTAAAAAAATGTTTTATTTCTTTAAAAAAACCATAAATTGCTGGATAGATTAGATAGATAGATAACACTTTATTGCACCAAAAATACATCCGCGCTGGATCCAGCTGGAATGATGTTGTTCCAGCAAAAATCCAGCTGGATTGAAAACACTGTTGGATTGCAATCCATAGTAGGTACTAATTTCTTTGTGCCCTGGATCTTGGGTATTATTGATGTTAATGGGAATGAGTAGGCGATGAAACAAATCCCAGTTTGCCCTTTGGTCTAGACTCTACAGAATTATTGTTGTTATAGTTATATCTACCATGGTTCCTGATGCTCAAAGGCAATGCAGCAATGATCTGACAGACTGTCCTCTTCGAGAATCATCCAGTTGTATATGTAATTAATTAGATTGGTGGAGAAGAGGGTGCACATCTCCCTTAGAGACATAGAAGTTAACAACACTGATGGCCAGGCCCAATACACTGATCTCCAAGCAGATGAATTTCTCAGAACTAAGATTCGAGTAGTAAACTACAGAGAGGGCACTATCAGGGACAATGGCAACCACCCAAGGCCTAGAGCAACCCCTGGTAAGAACCTTATGATTGGTACAATAGTAGGACACCTTGTTTCTCACATAGTACGGTTCTTGTATCATGACTAGGTTGTAGTTCTTTAGTAGTTGTCAACAGAAGACAGCTGAGACATGGCAGCAATAGAACCGTGAAGATTAATTTGATAAATGGTAATGTGACTATTGTTCGGGGAACTAAATTCCATAATCAGTCCTAGCTATTATCTGGTTCCTTATACGTTTAAAGATGGTGCAGCTTTTGTCCCAGGCGTTGTCTTTGTTTTTTTTTATTTTTCTCATTACAGCAGTTAATGCATTTGTTTTCATTATCCTTGCTAGGACATGGCTGCTGTCATGCTGTTTGGAGCAGTGCCTGCAGTTGTTTTTCTCCTCAGTACAATATTTGCTGATATGCCCATATCTCAAGCATTTGAAACGTTGAGTAATCGGAATATAATCCTCCACCCTACATCTCAGCCACTGTATATTTATTCTTTGTGCTTATGAGAGGATTCCTCTGACAGATGGAGCGACTTCCACAGTCTAGTTCGTACTTTCACTTACTCTTTGGTCCAATGGAAATTTAATTTTTAAACTGTTGCGGAATTCTTCCTGTTGGAAGTTATCTACAGTTGGTTAAAGGGGAAGTAAGGCCTTACTCAGAGGTATAGCCGTAGAAGGAGAAAGGAAAAGGAGAGGTCTGGAGGTGGAATAAGGAGAGGAGGGGAGGGATAAAAGGAATATGGAATGGAAAAGAAGGGGGAAGAGGAGGAGGGGTGCCAGCTGGGATTTGTTTATTAAAACAAAGAATTACAAAATTACATTTATGATGTATGTACAGTACAGTACATAGTGACCGATAGATGATACACCTAAACGATAATTTGCGCCGTGATTGAACTTACATTAAGATTGAAGGCAAAAGATGGGTGTTGAAGAGTGATACGAGGAAGTAGAAACACCCTTATGGAGGAATCAGATTGTGGCACTTTGTTGTTGTCCTTGGGTCCTGGAGTTATGGAGGCTGGCTGTGCCTATTCGGAGAGTTAGCTGGCATTTTGTCTTGAGTAGCAATTGTGGTGTGATAGTCTGCTAAGTTTAGGTTGTTGATGAATTTGACGAAATTGGGTTGGAAGTTATCTGAGATTATCTTATTGTCTGTAGATATTATGTACTATGTCCCGCTTTTCGATCTCCTTAGGAATTTTTATTGGTCATTAGCGGTCGTCTTTTCCTTGGGACCACAAGCTTAAGCTCTGGGGCCTTTAATTTGAAAGCATCTTCCATCTTGGTGATAGATTCCTCTTTGTTTAATTCGATCGCTACGCTATTTCTCCTGATTTTCCGAACGCCTGTTAAAGCAACTGAAATATCTCCAGGTTTTATTTTTGATTTTATCTCATTATTTTTTCTGAGTCACTTGTTTCGTTGCTGCTGTGTATTAGAAGAGAGTACTTATTGCCCGTGTTATGCTGTTTGAGCTTTTCACCTGCGTTAGTTGGATGCTTCAAGGCAGCACTGTATGAAAGAGAAATATGGTCTTTATCTCTTCCCCTAGATTTACTCAATAATTTTTAAATCTCTTTATAAGTTTTTACACCTTTTCTATGCTGCTATTTATTTCAGGGACAGCCTCCTTACAATCTTACGACATTCCCTGACGGTAATTTTTTAATCCAATTTTTTAACAATTTCGTAAATTTCCTGTCCGTAAGATCACTGTAAAAATATCAATAATCTTCTGGGCATTTTGAATAATAAAGTTTGAATGTGCTTTGATGCCCATATGCGATTTCCCATTATCTACTAGATAACACTTAAGTTCATCAAGTATTTTATACGCAGAGGTGCACGAGTCAGAGACGTGATCAGTGCTATCCGTGCTAACACAGTATAACAACACCAATCAGGAAGAGTGTGATAATTGTGAAGGGTACCCTAATTGTTTAATTCTTAACCTACTGAAAATACACAAGACCACTTTTATCTCTTTACCCCTAATAGCATCAATCCCCCTAATAAGCAATCCTCCCAAATAAATTTCGAAAATTTTCTCAAAAAGCACAAGAGTTATTAAGCTTCAAACAGGGTAAACAAAATCATGCCCCCCACACACACTAACATAAGTACATGTAGAAATTACTTCCGAATTACTTTACATTTCTCGATGTTTGTAAAATCCAAAAATGTAAAAACTTTGAAGGGTCATTTTTAGAAAGATCACCATATTTTGCCTATGTTATATATGAAACGGCCAAGAAAGTAAAAAAGATATGTAACTATTACAACCGTTTTATGCAACACGTCCATGTCCTGGATTCAAGCAAGTTTTTGATGACACGTTGTACACATTACAGTATTAAATAAAAAAATTTTTTAATCAAATTCTGTGAATAAGTTAAAACACTAGATACGATTTTTTAGTTTTATTTTCTATACAAGCTAAGTATGTATTAAATAATAACGAACTACTTACCACCCTGAAAGAAATAAATGAATCTTCCTTTACTATCTGGTTTTGGTAAGATTTGAATACCATTCAGTGATAAAACATGTTCCAATTTAGAAGGAAGTAAATCTTTAAAGTACTGAGGATACTGTATTCTCACTTCATAATAATTCTTCAGCATTTTCAACGATCTTTGCATGTCATATTTTCTAGCACGAAGAATTCCAAGAAGAAAAATGTCATCCATACGACATTTTATCCCTTGATCTTCTATTTGGAATGCAAAAACAACAATATAATGTATTATTATGTTTTAATGTAATGAATTTCCACATAAATATGTAATATTTATAATTACAGAATACATATTAATTTTTTAATGTACAAAAGTATCTATTATTTATTAATTATCTGAGTGGCACATTACATTCTTTAAAGTTTATTATAATTGTTCGATAAAATGTATTTGATAAAGAATGACTCGAGTAATTTTTAATTTTATTGTTTGAGTAAATGTCTCAATTTGGCAAAGTGCTTCTGGTTTCCATACCAGATATAGAAAAAGGATACATGTTTCAAAGTGAATTGAACTTCTTTTGTTAAGTTATGGGAAAAAGAACTCACAACGCTTTTCTCGCAGCATTCTGTAAGCCTAGAAGTTTGAGAATGGCGTTTGGAACGTCAGTGGAAATGTGCACGACGTTTCAAACGCCATTGTCAAACTTCTAGGCTTACAGGATGGCAGCACTGAATGTCCGATGTACATGTTTTCTCATTGAAAACATCGGCCGCAACCTCACTATTATGTAAGTGAGCAAAATTGTGATCGTCTACATACACTAACATTAACACATACAGAAATAAACCTTCAACTTTCCCACCTCTTTTTTACATTTAAAAGGCATCTGAGTTCAAAAACATAAAAACTCGGATTTTTTGGCCAATCTCCATGTTATCTGTTTGTTGTATATCTTATAACATTCAGAAAACTAAAAATTACAAAAATTCTCTTTATCGATTTTGTTATTATATGTAATTTCCAAGTCCACACTACATTACATTTACACTTAACACAGTAAAATAGTACAAGCCTAAATAAATTTAATTATCTTTTAATTGTAATTAAAATTTCTACTTACTTATAACATTTTTAAATGCTTGAAGTGCTTTATCATCCAAAGGAAATTCCTCTTCTTTTTCTTCCGGAAATATTGAATCTTTAATCTCCATTACGCTTATAAAATTCTGTAAGCATTATTTAATTTTAATTGGAAATGTTCGAAAGTTTATTATTAATATTTCAAATGTTATTCGAGAACGAAATTTTACTTTATCTTCATTCTTAAGTTTACTCAGATTTAAAAAAAAAGTGGCTTTTTTCATTGCAACTGGTTTTCTTGCTGTAGCCAGGTAAATAAAATCACTAAACACTGACAGTTCACGGCGAGTTCGCACGTCAGTAATAAAGGTATGATTGAGTTTAAATGAAAGAAATGCCAGAAATTAACAAACATTTCTTAAATTTTTAAGTAGAAATATGCTTGTTTTAATACTCAGATTCTATATAAAATCAGTGTAAGATACATTAAAATATTTAACTCTATATAAGCAATTTTTATTCTCATTGGTATCCAAGACTAAAAGCCAACTGTTTGATTAAACGTTTAGATGATAAAATAATATATTATAAAATATCATTTCACTATGGAAACAATATAAAAGTGAGAAATATTACATCAAACTCTGTAGAAATTCTGTATGTATCAATAGTTGTTGTGACATACCAAAAGATGTAAGGTATACATTTCTGAACGTTCCCCATTCACTCTTCAGATTTTTTTTAAGTTAATAAATATTTATTACTGAGTAAAAAAAGAAAAGAAACTGAGAAGAATAGTTAATTTTCAATATTATTCATAAAATATTACTAAAATTGGTCATTAAGTAAATCATTTACGAGGATAGATTGTGTTAATTAATGGATTTGAATCCACTTTGATCGAATTAATTGCATATAAAATTTTATAACATGTTCTAAATGTATTTAGAGTTTATATATATAAATATATATATATATATATATACATTTTTTTNGGTTTTTTAGACTGGTGGTCGTCCAATACAGGTGGTCCTGTAATAACGTATTTCCGTAAGTATTTTGCGCATTTTTTAGCCATTTCTACTAAAAGAAAAACTCGAGGTGAGCAAGAATAAGCTAATTTTATTAGCGATAGGGCTATATTGGTATTGTATTTTATTCTTATCGGACAACTGGATTTACAGGTGTCGTGGTGATTTTATAAGACAAATTTAATAGCAATATTTTAAAGATTAATACAATAGTCGCATTTTCTCGATTATAATGCACACTTTTTTTCGGACTTAATTAATTCGACTCGGTTGTTTTCGTTTTCTCCTCAGTTACGTGTATTACGTCATTTATATGCAAACGAGTCGTATCTCTACATCACTTTGATTTTGGTATTCGTTAGTTTAATCTTATTTTAACTTTAAAAATACTGTATTTTTATCAAACGATTATATCAACCGATTAATTGTATCATGTACGATATTTTATACCCCTAAGGAAAATACTGTAGGTGTACGGTAAAATAAATTTCGTTTTCCCAGTTAAACTTCGCCACTAATTGTTGTTATGATAAACCATTTTCACTTTGATAATTTTAACACGCTCTTCTAACTACAGCACTTTGCATTTCTTTCGTTTGGGCCGTCGAATGCAGGTGGTCGCCTAAGCAGTTTTCACTGTATTTCATTTTATAAATGTTCAATTTTTAATAAAGTGTAAACTTAAAACTTTATATATTACTAAAAAATGTTAATTATTATTTTTAAAAAACGCCTTTATAATACTTTTAATAACTTTTAATAATACCTTTAAAAACTACAATTATCACAATATCTTAAAGAAATTACAATAGGGTTTCAAGTTACGACAGGGTAATTTCAAGTTTTATTATAATTTATATTTTCTTCGATGTTTCTAGGCCACTAAGTAAAATATATGAGACAAACACCGGGCGTTTGTTATTATAATATATAAGTTACACATATAGGCCTACCTATTTTTAAAGTTAATTTAAAATTTAAGATTAACAAATTTATGGATAAATATTATAAATATTTATAAAAATTGCATTGAGCTTTCTCTTAATAATCTCATTCTGTACAACTTTCTCGTTTGTCAACATTTTGTTAAAAACAGAGGAATATGAATGCCCAACGTTTCAATATTAGTACATTAAATTTATATTCATAAGGGAACTTTCTTAATCGGATGACAATTTTCATGTATTCATGTTTAAATGTGGACTGTAAATACGTAATTTATGTTACAATTGACAAATTTGTTTTATTCTAATCAAGACTTTCCTTGTCGCTTCTTTTCCCTCACCTGGCCCCTTTTCCCCTTCTCTCCCTTCTTATCTCACTATTTCTATTATTAAAAGAATTTTGATAAAATTCTGGGATTACATTTAGAAAGTTAAATTTTCGAATGTCGAGACATTCGAACTGTAAACGTGCGTAAATACTTCGCTACTACGTATAATTCGTATTTTTGAAAATGTTTTTACTTAATTTAGTGCACGTTTTAAAAACTATTGTCACTATATCGAAAGTTTTTTTAGCAATAATTTATATTTTGGGGGCGAAAAACAATTTTATGGGTGATATAGTAAGATATTATATTAAGAATAATTAGACATTTTATTCGTTATATCGTACAATAATTAAACAAATAACATTATACTAGTCACTAGTCTATTCAATGCGGTACGAATTTGGCGTTAGCTTTGTCCCTCGGCATCGGAATTTTTTAGTGAAGGGGCGATACTACATAACGGTTTTATTGAAGGTGGCGATACTACGTTGAAGGGGTCGCGATTCGTTAGAGGTTGAGAAACACTGGTCTAGGCGGTGAAAGTTCGAATATCTAGTATCGAAAGCGATTAATAAAAATCGATATAGCGATTTGTCTTCTTTGTAATTATCACGTCTTATTCTTCGAACAATTTTTCTTCCTTCAATAAATGATTTTTTAAAAAATACAGTTATGTCTAGACTCTAGAGTGTAGAGGTATGTGGATTGACTTCGAATAAAGCAAACAATCAACTATGCGAGACAAATGAGGAAATTTTTACCCGACACATTTGTCTCGCATAGTTCTTTGTCTGCTTCGTCAAGGTCAATCCACATCGAGATAAAAACAACGTACACGTGTACTTTCCTCTTTTTACATAAACACAGTATGTAGCCTATGTCCATCCAAATGGAATAAGTGATTTTCAATATCAAATTAATTTTTTAAACCCGTTCTATAGAATTCGAGATTACCTCTAGCAAACAAACAAACACTCTCGCTATAACTTATATATCAGTATAAATATAAATAAATATGAATATAATTAGATATAGATAAATTAATTTTGAAAACTAAAAATATATTGAATTTAATATGTCAATTTTTGAGCATTTTTACAACTTATTCTTAGATCCTAGTGGATCGCATTTTCGTCATGACCAACGACTGACCCATGTAGTTTATTGAATTTTCTCCACATGAGTCGCAACTGGCAGTAACTATTTTATACGGGCCTTTTTTTACCCCAAAAATATCTTCTTGTTTAACATACACCGTTGAAGATGCATTGTTTTATTCATTCACTTAACCTACTCCTAGTTAATTTCTAAACGTTTAGAATTACAAATTCTATACTTTAATATTGACAATTCTGGATAACCCTTATATATTTATCCATATTAATTTATGTATTTCCACGTTTTCCATATACGCTATAATAATTCAAATTATCTGCCTTAATAAAATGTATAAATTATTTCGCATTTTTGAATTAAATTATAATCGGAACTAAAAATTCCTAATAAATAAAGCGTATTTTTTAGTTTCTTAAACACGATTTCTATCAACTAAATCTTGTATTTTTGAATTTTAATTTTGAAATTAAAGAAAAATATTCGGCATTTATGTAATCATTTATGATCTTAACAGGTCTATGGTGGCTTAGCAGTAATTTTTGTTTATGAATAATTTATTAAAAGAAGCAGCATGCTAAATAATATTAAGAACAACTTACATAAAAGTTTTTTATAAGGATTATATGACTTAAGGACTACAGTATCTACATAAAAAAAGAGAAAGAGAGAGCTTTACTCACCGCTGTGTTTCCAACTTTTTTCTATGAAATATAATAAATTTTCTAATTGTTATGGACAATAA